TTCCTATTGCAACTAATGAAGAAAGATTCCCGCTTTTTTCAAAACAATCCCTCTGATACTTTACCAAAGTTCAAGTCAAGTGAAATCTTTCTGGAAAAGAATCTTGGGCAAGGGGAATTTGGAGTGGTGTTTTCAATCGGCGCCATCATTCATAACAATAATAATAATATTGCCAAAGTTGACGATGACGAAAAACCAAAGAATGATCGCCACTCGGTGTCTCCTGAAAATGAAACTACCGCAACCGACGATGAAACTGAGATGGCAGACGATAGTCTCCGACATGATCACGGTCCTCAGGACGCCCCAACAAAAGTAGAGATTTATTTGGATTGTAGACATGGCCTCAAGGATACTCCTCCCGGCCTTGAGCAACGAGACTTGGATCTCTTGCTAGAACCCAATGTATCGAAAGGTTACATGTGCAAACATGCCATACGTGACGGTATGCCTCGATACGCCATCAAACGATTGAAGAAAGATTTGAAAGGCGATGGATTGGTCCAGGCAATGGCCGATTTGGCTTCTGAAGCCCATTTTCTAATGACTCTTCGGCATCCCAACATATGCAGGATGCGTGGAACTGTTGGGGAGCCTGGAAAGAGAGGATTCGCCATTGTGATAGACCGCCTGACCCTGACACTTCGGCAGAAGATGGCGGAATGGAAAAAACATGACGACAGAGGATCTATCGTTTCCAACCTCAAGAAGGTGCTTGGGACCGAATCCCAAAGCAAAGTAGAAGCAAAGCTGGTGGTCCAAAAAGAAATCTATGGAGAAAAGCTATTGGCAGCATATGATGTCGCCAGGGCTCTTCGATACTTGGCCGATCATTCTATTGTCTTTCGCGACCTAAAGCCTGAGAATCTTGCTTTTGATCTGCGTGGAGACTTGCGTCTGTTTGACTTTGGATTGGCAAAGGAACTGAAGGAGAAAGACATGAGAGCTCCTGGCATGTACAAAATGACTGGTGTGACCGGAAGCCGTCGATATATGGCACCTGAAGTTCTTATGAGCAAGGATTACGGTTTGGCTGTTGATATTTACTCCTTTGCGATCATGTTTTGGGAGATGATGGCAAACCGTAATGCTTATTTTTACTTGGGCCCTGAAAAACATTTTGAAACGGTTGTTACCCGAAGGAAACGACCAAATATCAAGAAGATGATTTCGAAGAAAGTTGCTCCACAAGATTCGACTATTTGTGACTTGATTGAAAAAGCTTGGTCACATGACCCACGGAAACGACCAGGCATGGAAAAGGTATGCGATGAACTATTTTCTGAGATTATGAGTGCATCTAGCGAAGAAAGCTCAAGGGTAGCAGTCGATCGATCTACGCATCTCGCTGCTGGAAGTCTGAAAAGTCGGCTTGATGACCCTTTGTGGTGTTAATCCTCCCAATACTAGTGGATGCACGTTTTTCCTATTTGTCTTGTAAACATGCTATGATTTAGGTGGTATCCGGCCATCGGCCACTTTTAGTCACTTTCGTGCATGCTGGATTGCATTGGATGAAAGGCAGAGGACTATTTGCCGTGTACGGTATTGTGGTCAACGTTTGCGGTATTCGGACAGCGGCTATCTTGTACCTCGTAACTTGGGTGCATGCAGGATTGACCCCATACTGTAGGGATCTACGTCGTACCACCTTCGGGTATTCGTCGTGTCAATCTGTACACGTACACGTACCTAGTCGCTTCCCCACATGCAGGATCGGTCCAATGTATCTTGGTCCTTTCTTTGGTAGTGGATCTACGTCATGTGTACGAATCGCTTGAACTCTGGAGCGAATGAAACAGCCGCTTGGTTGCGTCTCAGGTCATGTTGCTTCTCAAATTCTGTCGTATCAATCGCGGAAGACGTTTGCACCGCGTTTTTTTTGTACCCACCATGCTTCTAAAAAAAGAAGCGTTAATTGAATGTTTTGATGGATCACGCGCTCGAGAAGCTTTTCAAGAGAAACTTATAATCACGTGCAAAGAAACGAACTTGTGAGCTTTTTATACCAAGGTGTCATGCAAAAAAGGTGATCACTGATCATATAAAAATAGTGTCCTGCTCATAAAACTCCATCAGTTTTGAAAAGTAAAACATATTCAACATGTTGTCAAGTCGCCATGACGCATTGAGCGTATCAGGTATCGGGAACCGAGCAAGAGGAGAGCCGAAGAACTCAGCATCTGGTAACAATGCCGAATGGTCGTCTGGTGACCAAGCTTATAATATCACTCAGTTCCTATTGGAAGTGATGAAGAAGGACTCTCACCTTTTCCAAAACAGTCCCTCGCTAACCTTACCAAAATTTAAGTCTAACGAAGTGTCGCTGGAAAAGAATCTTGGGCAGGGGGAATTTGGAGTCGTATTTTCGATAGATGCGATTCATACCAAGGTTGACGAAGAAGAAGAAGAAGAGACACCCAAACATGATCGGCGCTCGGTGTCTCCTGAAAACGAGACCAGCGCAACCGATGACGAAACTGAGACGGCAGACGACAGCCTCCGGATTGATGACAACCCTCATCAGAACGACGAGCCCTTGGCAGTCGAGATTTTTATGGATTGTAAAGGAATCGGTCTCAAGGGTGCCCTCCCTCCCGGTCTTGAGCAACGAGACCTGGAGCTCTTGCTAGAGCCCAATGTTTCGAAAGGTTACATGCGTAAACATATCATGCGGGGTGGAATGTCTCGATACGCCATCAAACGACTAAAGAAGGATTTGAGAGGACCCACATTAACCCAAGCCACAGCCGATTTGGCTTCTGAAGCCAACTTTCTAATGACGCTTCGCCATCCTAACATTTGTAGGATGAGAGGAACCATTGGAGAGCCTGGAAAGAGAGGATTTTCCATTGTAATGGACCGCCTGACCCTGACGCTTCGGGAGAAGATGGTGGAATGGAAGAAAAAAGACGATAGTGGGTCGCTCTTTTCCAAACTGAAGAAGATACTTGGGAACCAATCAAAGAGCAAGCTAGAAGAAAAGCTGATGTTCCAAAGAGAGATCTATGGAGAAAAGCTATTGGCAGCATATGATGTTGCAAGAGCACTCCGATACCTGGCCGATCATTCCATTGTCTTTCGAGACCTAAAGCCTGAGAATCTTGCTTTTGATCTGCGTGGAGACTTGCGTCTATTCGACATGAAATCTCCTGGAATGTACAAAATGACAGGTCAGACAGGAAGCCGTCGATACATGGCGCCTGAAGTCATGGTGTACAAGGATTACGGTTTGGCTGTTGATGTTTACTCCTTTGCAATCATGTTTTGGGAGATGATGTCAAATCGCGATGCATACTTTTACATGGGTCCTGAGAAGCACTTTGAGACGGTTGTTACGCGAAGGAAACGACCCAATCTGAAGAAGATGATTTCGAAGAAAGTAGCTCCACAAGGTTCGATTATGTGTGGTTTGATTGAGAAATCTTGGTCACATGATCCCAGCAAACGACCAGGAATTCAAAAGATATGTGAGGAACTCTTCTCTGAGATTATAAGTGTATCCAATGAAGAAGGCAAAGCAGTCGATCGATCTTCACATCTCGCAGCTGGAAGCCTAAAGAGTCGGATTGACGAACCTTTGTGGTGTTGAAAATGATTATTATCCTCCAGGTACTAGTGAATATATACACTTTTCCTCATATTCGTCCCTCCCGCTTATATATATGTTCCAAATACATGTGTATATGCAATATCTGTAATCCCATCTTCGTCATTTTCGGCAATCATCAAGGATGTACTATGATAGTGTTTTAGTTTTGACACGTAAGTCCCTCGTAGTGTACGTGTACTATGGTACGGTATGCGTGGAACGCGAATCAAAGATGTCATATCCGCCTTCATTCTTTTTTATATATTCTATTCTCAATCAGAACCCCGCCATCAGAACTGACCGATCGAATTCGATGTAATAGATTTATTTGTAGACTGCACTGCATATAATAGCCAGCATCATCCCTGATCTGCCATACCTCGGTATATATATACACAGAGACACACACACAACAGCAACAATGTCGACTCACGATGATGAGCTAGGCAAATCAACGATAGGAAACCGAGTGAAACTCTCAGATCATGATGACGTGCCAGAAGATGACGAGCGGGATCATGAGGCTCACGAAAAGGCGAGGCATAGCGCCACAAAGACGCACCTGGAACTTATGAGGCAAGATTCTGTATTCTTTACCAACAGGCAATCTTCCTCACTACCAGCATTTGAATCCAAAGAAGTTTCCCTGGGCTCATTTCTTGGACAGGGGGAATTCGGTGCTGTGTACTCGATTGCCGCCTTTCACGTCGAGGACGACGAAGACAACAAAGTAGATGACGACCCAGCGACAACACCAACTCCCGAGCTGTCAGTGCGCAATAATAAAGATACTCCTACAAGTCCCAAAAGTGAAAGAGACCCGAACGGAAAAGAGGAGTCTAATGGTAGTAATCTTCTTCGCAAATCATCCTCTATACTGGATTCGCAATCCAGTGGTATTATTGGCAAACCTTCCTCCAATAGCAAATTTGGTCGAAAAGACTCAAATGTGTCCTTTGCCCAAAATCCTGATGCTGTCATATTTCAAGGAGACGAACAAGATTCGGCCGAGTACGATGACTCTAGCTTATCAGGAGATGACGACGACGACGATGACGATGGAGAGATTGGCTCGACGGCGGAAAATTCCAAACGAAGCAGCCCGAGAAAGGTACCAGGTTCCAATCTATCAAAAGGCTACATGAGTTCCCATGTGATGCGGAATGGAAAACCTCGGTATGCAATCAAGAGATTGAGGAAAGATCTAAAGGGTGAAAAGTTGATGTATGCAACTTCCGATTTCGCATCCGAAGCTCGTTTCCTAATGTCGCTTCGTCATCCAAACATTTGCAGGATGCGTGGCACCATTAGTGAACCTGGAAAGAAAGATTTTGCCATTATCTTGGATCGTTTGACCATGACCTTGCGTGACAAAATGTTGGAGTGGAAAAAGGAGGACAGCAGTGGGTCACTATTTTCCAAGTTGGAGCGTCTGATTCACCATCCTAAAGACAAGCAAGAAGAAGAGATACAAGTCCAAAAGGAACGATTCGCCCAAAAGCTCTTGGCCTTGTACGATACTGCCAGGGCACTGCGATTCTTGGCCAAGAACTCGATCATTTTCCGTGATTTGAAGCCTGAGAATCTGGCCTATGATGTCAGGGGCGATGTGAGACTATTCGACTTTGGTTTAGCAAAAGAACTCAAGGAAAAGGACAAGGACGTTAAGGATAAATACAGGTTGACTGGGCTCACTGGAAGCAGACGATACATGGCGCCAGAAGTTATCATGTGCAAAGATTACGGCTTGCCTGCTGATGTCTATTCCTTTGCAATCATGTTCTGGGAGGTCATGTCCAATCATAATGCGTATTGCTACTTGACCAACGAGAAGCACAATGAGATGGTGGTTATTCTCAAGAAGCGACCAAATCTGAAAAAGATGATTCCACATCAGAAGCACGTCCTTCCAGAAGGATCACAGATCCACGATTTGGTGGAGCAATCTTGGGCTCCTAATCCCGACAAACGGCCTACTATTGAATCTCTGTGCGATATGCTTTGTACAGAAGTAATGAAGGCGAGTGAAACGAATGATGATGACGATGAAGGAGGCTTGAAGGTGGGGGATAGAACAGCTTTCCTAATAAATGAAAGTATTCGAAGTCGTTCTGGCGTAGGATGACAAAAGTTGGCTGGCAATTGTAATTCTAATTCTTTTTAAAATATAATAGTACGTATCTTATTTCTTCTTTTTGCCACCACCTTTTCGCTTTCTCGGTGGAACACCCTTCCGCAAGATGACTTCCAGTACCTTCAATGGTATAGCATAGTCCGAGTCCTTGACGCCTCCGTGACTGGATAACGATTCGTCTCCCGTCAGCAAGGCTTCCAATTCATCGGCAATGTTCCCTTGGAACTCCACTTCCACTCGGCCCTTTTTCAAGGCCGCCCGTCCAGCGGCTGCTTCCGTGTCCACAGTAGACGAACATGCCAACCGTTTCGAAACATCCTTGGACAGAACCTGTCCATCAATGCCATATTCTTCCATTCCCCGAATCCTAGTAACAAATTTGCGTGACTGTCGCATGGACACTTCAATTTCCACCTTGGGTGGGGTTCCCTTTTTGAGTGTCGTAATTTTGCTTCCCGGCATGGTCACCAGAGCGTACGCTGGCTGCAATCGCGCCGTAAATTGTTGATATACTTCCTTTCGCTTCATGATTGTCGGCAGTGGTTGTGGGTTTTGTTTCTGTTGTTTGGGAGGGAAGATGGCGTCGGTCAAGGGCCCATCCAATGTAATCTGATCTTTTCGGACGGGATGCACCAGTTCTTCCCTTTCTATATAGCCTTCGACAATTTGTTTGACTTCGGGGGTCGTTAGCATTCCAGTCCCACGGCGCTCTTCGGAGGTGGCGTTGGTGGCCGCCACTTCGTCCGCATCCAACCGCATCAGGGAGACTATCGAATTTTGGATCACGTACAGATTGACCAAGACAAGTTTGGTCGGAGCATCCGCATCCAGCACTGGAGCTGATTTAGTCAATCCTTGGACGTCATCGTGCTTCTTGTAGTAACCAAGAATCATCGCCATGGGATCCTTGTTCTTTTTGTTAGCTTTATCCGGTCCTACCAAAAGCAGCCCGAGTGCAACTTGTTCTTTGATGTAGGCTCCAAACTTTTTGTATTTTGTCTGTTTCAAGTCAATCTTTTGCGACGAATTGGGCACCACATGCTTGGAATAAAACGTCGTGATCAGCATTGGAAAGTCCTTATTGCTGAGATTGACCAGGGCTTGACACACTGCCTGATGCAAATGGGATTCTGGTGTATCTTCGTCCTCGTTGTCGTCTTCATCGTTCGTTTCAACTTGACCATTTCCTTCTGCAGTTTTGTCTGTTGCATTATTCTCTCCTTCTTGTGCTGACACTTCGGTTACCTTGTTATCTTCTGCATTTATCTGATTTTCTGCCTTATTCGCACGCTCCGACTCGGCATTTCCTTCTTGCTCGTCGTCGCTGTCATCCTCCTCTTGTCCATCCATATTCGTCAATGGATATACAAACTTTCCTTCCGAAAATCCGATATTGCCAAAGTGTCCATTTTCAAAGGAGTCTCCTCCTCCCAACACGTTGACCATGCCTCCCTTATGCAAGTTGGATGGTGCCGCCGATTGCCTCCAAAAATCGTCCCCATAGGTAGACCAAATTTCCACTCCAACCCCCTTGGTTTGATATCCAAATTCAGCATCGTTATTCTTGTCATCGTCGTTATTGTCTTGTTTGGAAAGTAACAATCGTCCCACGGCAAAGGGTTGTGGATTTCCTTGTACCATGATTGCCACGGTCTGGGACGAATAACCATCCTTATGGTTGCTATTTTCACTACTAGCAGGCCTTGTTGCGTTTGGAATGGATCGCATCCCCGCCTTCATCAAATCGGCACCCCGACAGACAAATTTGGAAACTGCCGCTGGAACTTGAACGACGTACCATTGATGCCAATGATCCGAATTATTGTAGGAGGATTGCAAATCATCACTCTTATGATTGTGATTGCCATTGGTTGTGAATCGTAATAGACCCAAACAATTGGAAAGTATCGCCCACAAGGCGACGGTCGGCGATTCGTCCACCACTTTGGTCTTGCCATCCACCATGGCCATCCACACAAATTGGGTGCTTTTCTTGTAGGGATACTTATGGACATTACTGGCATTACTGTCAATACTGTCATTGCCATTATTATCATTGTCACCATTCGATGGCGTCTTCACATAGACCACCATGCTCCTATGTTTTTCTGCCAATGGCAAGGATCGACTGGACAAGTTGCCTTGCAAAAAGACTTGTTTCAAAAGTTCTTCCACATCAGGCAAGTTTGGACGGAAATAATCACAAGCCCGTTGGTACAATTGTTTGCGGACCGACTTTTTCAAGGGCACGTCCATGGTGGCGGACTTTTTCTTGGAAGCGTTATTGTTATTATAATGGGCAGCAGCACTATGATTAGCACTAGGATTAGCATTATTCTTATTCTTTCCTCCTCCTCCTCCTACTCCGCCTTTGATGAATTTGTTATTTGGGTTGCTGGCAACAACGCCAAAGAGAGCCGTATCTTCCTTGTGAAACATATGAAAGGAATAAGGCTAGCAGGCGAAATATGCGATATCATGCAATGATGCGATGATGATTGTATATTTTCTAATATTATTGCGGATGCATGCGATGCGATGTATATCGGACAGGAAGTTCGTTTGATTATCGGACCATGTGATCTTCTGTTCGATATGTCCGATATTGGACGCGAACCCGCCCATCCGCAGTCATCATTATATTCACATATGCAGCTATAGCCGTTGAGACTCATCATCACACACCAATAACTACTCTCTTGTCTTTTGAAGCAAAAACAAGAATCTCATCGTCGGTCTGTAACACGAGCCTATAGTTGGCTACTCTATACTTGTCACTGTTGAAGTTTGACGGTCAAAAAACTGCCCGAAAGCCACCAAAAAACAAGATTGATTCGCATCCATATATCTTTTACTGTACATTTGGTGTGAAAGAATCATAATCAATCCATCCAACAGAAAGAAAAGAAAAGAAAACAATGCCAGGACAAGAAGTACATGAGAACGATAGTGCTGCAACAACGGGTGTCTCTTGTGGTTGTTTTCCTTGCCGACGACAAAACAACAATAATAGTAGGCCGAGAAAGACCAAATGGAAGCGCCAACGGCCAAAGAAATTGCAGTTTCTCAAACCAGCTTCCAAACGAACCGAATATCACGATGCTCAAGACAATTTGGACAAACTGACGGGGATTGAGCAAAGTGGCAAGAGTGCCATGAGAGGAGACGAAGAAGCGTCGAGAGGGTCCCTCTTTTTCTTTGATGCTGTAGAGAATCCACTGGGCGAAGATGAATACCCACCAATATTTACCACGGCCATTCAACATCCGAAACGTCGGGTCACCTTGGAAGATCCCATCACCATGCTGCATCATGCTCCCACTGATCGAGTAAGTGATGATGACGACGGCGACGACGAGTTATTGACGAGACAAGGACCTATTGCCGATCACCTCAGTGGATCCCAACGCTTTGAAACCATTTCCAGAAGGCCCACTCTGGAACATACCAAGGCACTTCAAGGCCCGAGAGTACCTCAAGCCGAAAAGGGTTTCCCAGGTGGTTTGACAGTGGCCGAATTGGAAGAATGTGTAAGTGGTTGGCAATTACTGTATCTATTGATTGATTATTGATTGTAATATATTGTCCTGAATGATTGGTCGTGATTGCTGATGGTTTCTTATTGTTACATTTATTACAGCAAAAATTCCTGCGAGGACTCAAGTTGCTCGACCCGGGTGTCATGAATCAAGTGTACAGTTTTCGGGATGTCGAAGAAGAACCGTATACGATTTGCCGATGGTTACGGGCCACCAAATTCAACGCGGATGAGATTTTGCAACGCCTTGCGGAAAATCAAGCCATGTTTGAAAAAGCCCAAGCGGCCGAATTTTATCCCCAACCGGATGTTGCGATTGGTGCCCCCGTGTCGGTATTTTTGACCCAATATCCCTTCTTGCCCATTGGATCGGCCAGAAATGGATGCCCGGTCAATTATTTCATGGCGGGTAAGATTAATCCCGAAGGGATTTGGAGCATGACGACTGTGGAGAGGTTAGAAGGATTCTTTTGGTGGTCCTTCATGTGGAAAATGAAGGCCGAAGTCCGCAAGGCACAAACACAAGATCCAGACTTTGTGCGCATGGAGGGAATTAACATTGTGGACCTCAAGGGACTTTCGTCCAATGCACTCAGTTCGGAAACCATGGACGTGATCAAATTATCTTCCAAAGTGGCAGATTTCTTCCCCGAAACCTTGCATTGCATGCTAATTTTGAATGCGCCTGGGTTCTTTTCCTTTTCGTGGGGTCTCATTAAAAAATTCTTGGACCCACGCACGGCGGCTCGGATTCAAGTCTTTTCCAGTGAAACCAAGGGCATGGAGGCCTTGAAAGGATTGATTGACACGAGTCAAATTCCAGAAGATTACGGAGGTGGCAACATTTCGACCCACGATGCCTTTGCCAAGCAAGCGGCGGATCCAGCATTGTTGCGACAAGATGTGGAATTGATTCATGTCAAGCGAGGAAAGACGACCAATTCGAACAATGTTTGGAATTTGCAAAAGGACGAATCCATGGCCGTGAGTGTCTATACTCGATCCGTTTCCGGTGCCAAGGTTGTGGCCCAATTGAATGGAGAAACCGTGACCAGTCCACAACAACAAGTCGTCCAATGCGAATGGCAACCGGATGATGACGGAGGAAGCAAACCTCTTCCCAATTGCGTCCAATTGACCACCATTAAAGGACCTGGAATGGTTACCATGGAAGTCCAGGACTTGGACAATGCCGAACGAGCTCACAGTGGAATGTCGAGGGGCTACTTTTTGGTCGTTGGCGATGTTACAAAATCATGATTATGAGAGACAAAAGACGAAAAGTGCCGGTGTGGTTGGTTATATATAGCAAAGGTGCACTATTATACTGCAGGAATGTTATTGTATTCATTATATATATAGTTAGATGTGGCATTTTTTCGTCTTTTTGGCTGCTTTCCGACTAGTTCCTTGTCGTACGACTTGCACTAGAATGCTACTACCAATACTACTAGTTTTGCCCAAATCATTAGTACCATTGTTGTTGTGGTTCCTCTTCAAGTTCGACACTGGCAGCTGACTGTCAGTGTCATGATGACTCCCATTGATAAAGAATCGAAGATCCTGGAGGTTGTATTTGGCATGCTGGGCATACGCCTTGAATACATTCTGTAGAGTCGTCTTTGGTTTTGCCTTGGCGTCTACCTTATTGCCTCCCGTAGTAGTGCTGGTCATAATACTGAAACGAAGCACGACCCGTTCATTATTCTTATTCTTTCCACGTTTCTTGTTTGCCTCATCTTCGCTATCCGATAGATCACTGGCAGCGGTCGAATCCGTGTCTCCACCATTGTAGCTAATGATCAATGGGAATTTTCCCGTTTCCGAAGTATCTGGACAATAATGATTCTTATTGTTGACGACTACGGAGTGTTCTCGAAGAATCATCATTCCCCCATCATCATCATTCTTCAATAAATCTCGTTTCCGTTTGTTGTTGGAGCTTATTGCAGTCACCATGATTCTCTTCACTTTTTCGGGCAATGGTTTGTTCATGATATGATATCAATGGTAGGATGAAGACCAATCGACTATTGATGCGACTCGTCTCAAGATTATGTTTTTTTATTATGTTGGAATAAAAAATCTTTTGAAGTGTAAAAAATCGACTACTTCGAATGTAGCTACTGGAACATAAAGATAATAATATACAAGATACAGTACCTAACATAGGACTATATAATATACATAGTAAATCACGCATTATTAGAAGAATATCCGTATTCTAATTATAATCATGGTGATATTCCCCTGCATTGTATCGTTTCCAGCAAGCTTTTGCCTTGGAAGGAGTTGCTCTCTTTGGCTTGACCACTCGTTGAGCTATATCCTTCATTTGCTGCTCCTGCTGCTGGTGGTGGTCCTCATCCTCTGGTGATAGTGCTGTTCCACTACTGTTACTAGGAGCATACCATTCCAAGTCCGCCCCCAAGTTCACACCTGCATTGACATTACTAATATTGACAATGATCAAAGGATGACCGTGAGATCGAGCAAAGGCTCGGACACGTTGAATGTGTTCGTCCCAAAAGTCTCGCAAGAAGGCTTCTTCTTGCTGCCAACGGGGAATATTGGAGCTACTAATGGCATTGAACTTTTTCTTCTCCCCACGAAGACTGCCAAACCCAAGCCTTGAACTTTTTCTCTTTTGCTTGTTATCATTGTCGTTGTCATTGTTCATCATCGTCGTCAGCAAATTGTTGTAGGATTGGTATTTCCCAGTCGCCTCATTTTCCCTTGCGTGCTTGACCAACACTTCGTACTGCAAGCGTTCCACCAGGGATCGAGCGGGAACATTTTGCACCGACCGAATCCAATCGTCCACGGACCGAGTATTCAAAATCCAAATGGCCGTGGGTACCGCCGCATGCAATTCTTCCAAATGATAGTGCTGGGGCAGAAATATGCCCTTGGAAGAATGGAATGGGTCATCATGATTAGTATTGTCTTGTTCTTGTGCCTTGGTTGGTGAAAGATAGGGACCATTCATTTCCGTAAAGACATCATAGTCACCGCATCCATCCAGAATGGAATGGTTCCACTTGGAGTCGAATTCGAGTTCTGAATTTTGTTTAGTATTGCGGTTCATTTCTTCTTCTTGCTGTTGTTGTTGTTGTCGCGCTTGTTCTTGCAAATTCTCGAGTAGGCAGTGAGACATGTAGGACGGTCCAAATCGTGGTCCACCCGATCCGGGCAAATCGGCACTCCGCTGAGGCCCACAGCAGTACCAATGCTGCGCATAAATGCCGTGGCAGGAAAAGAATTCAAAAATCGAAGATGTCCCAGCCTTTGGTAGTCCCACCAATAAAATGGGCGGAGGTGGCTCATTATTATCTGTTTCACCAGTATCAGTAGTATCAGTAGTGGCAATAGTAATATTCTGCCATTTGTGAAACTGTTGTCGATCGTAGCGCCACATCTTTTCCACCTTCTTATTGGGAGAATTTTTGGGCAAATCGGCTGTATGATAATAGTCAAAATCGTCTTGCAGAAGCGTTGGAAATTTCATTTCCTTGGAATACCATAACCATCCAAAGTACGCAAAAAAGGATACATTGGCGAGACATACACCAATCCCTGTGAGTACCTGAAGGTTCCGGAATGATGATAATGATGATGGTGTGTCCTTTTTGTGGGGTCGAGGCTTTCGGCGCTGATGCTGATGCTGCTGCAAGGGTGGTACTGGTATCCTTGACTTTCGAAAAGCTTCTCTTCTGGTATCTATGGTATTGGGCTTGCGCCTCCTGGAATGTTGTCGTCCATTATTATTATTCTCATTGTTCATGATGATCGACAATTGTATGTATAGTATATATAGTCCTATTTATTCATGGCTATTATAATGGGCGGGCATTAATCGAATATTTCAAGCAGAGAGGTACTGAAGGTCACTGTCTGCGGTTTCAAAATTTGTTTTTATACCAGTATATGTAATCCAAATAAGTGCTCAGCAAAGACGATGAAAGTAATATAGCAATGTAAGAATTTAAGGTCGCAGCGTGCGTATGGTCATCGCATGCATCAAATAAAATGATATTTATTTTCAGTCGCCATCAGTCATCAGTCCCGAATACGCGCAAAGCACGCATCTCCGTTTTCATTTCATCCAAACTCCAGTATCGAACTCTCCGACTATAAAAATCCATCGTGCAAAACATTGCGCGTCCACTCGCGAGACCACAAACGAGCATTCGAAGGAGTCAATCGTGTTAAAAACACGGCAAATTGGCGATCTCCCACCCGTAGCGGTTTTCACTCCACACCTCAACGCAACACCTCACAATTTCCATTATGAACCTCTTTGAATCAACTAATACAACAACAACAATCATGACCAACTACATCACTACCTTTGTCAATCAAGAAAGCTTGAAAAGCATCAGCTTTCCCAAGTTACCTCGAATGAGTGCCATCACTCAACAACAACAACAACAACCAGTTCAAGAAACCATCATTACCGGTTTGGTTTGTGCCGTCGCAATCGTGTTACTTCGGTACATGGTACTCGACACTTACCGAACCTATCAGAGACTTTGCAGGCAATGGAACAGACGACAGCCTCCAGTTTCCATCCTTCGTCGTCCAGAAGGCGGGTCTCGCAAGAAAAACCGAAGTTGGTTTGGTGTGTTCATCCGAAAACCAAATCGTGTCCGTTTCGCCAAAATCTTTCGTCGAACCTTTGTCCCAAACGAGCAAGAGCTGCAATCTCGCAGGGAATGCTGGGGTCTGATTCAATGGCGCATACAACTTCACGACGAAGTCATTCCAGAGATAGAGAACACAGTGAGATTCGTTCCACATACTCCTGTGTCCATTCTTCGTCCTTCAAGACAAGATTGGGGATCACCCAACCCAACCTCTTCAAGCCGAGTCCAATTCGCCCCTAAGACTCGAAGGAAAAACTTCGTTCCCGACAAGCAAGATCTTAAGTCCCGAAGGCAGCTAATTCATCAAATTGAACGCAAGATCAAGAGACGGAATGCCCGACGCTGGAAGCTCGATTTCAAACCTACCGTGCTTGCCACCATTATTGAAGATCCAGCAGAAGAAGATTTGAGTGACGTTGACTCGTCTTTGGATACTGGATTTTTTGATGGCAAAATCGACTCTGAACCCATTGCACTTGCGCTCGAGAAGCACCGACAAATGCTTCCGACGGTCCTTCATGACATGCTCTCCAATATTCCTGTCCCAATGGATTTGGATGACGACGACAACAAAGACGACGATCCCTGCATGGAAGAACAAGCTCCACCATTGTCACTCAAGCGAACCGCCACTTCCTGCCTTATTTCATCCAGACCCACCAAGCGTCGCAAAATGAATTCATCATCTACGGTACCAACTTGCGCTACAACATGGGCCAAACGAACCAACGAACTCTTCACTCCTTTGCTACCTGTCCTAATCGAAGATCCAGACGAAGACGACGACGAGAGCCACATTGACTCGTCGTTGGATGCTGGATTCAACGATGACGTTGCCAATGAACGATCGACTCGTCTTACCAAAGCTGACGCTATTTGGGTCGAGAAGGCCAAGGAGATCTTGGCCGAGAAGGCAAATTTGAACTTGATGACCAAGGCCAAGAGAGCCAAGTGGGCAAACAAGGCAAGGGCCAGAAGAAGCAAGGGCCAGAAGAAGAATTTTGAACCAACGCTTCTTGTCATTATCGAAGACCCAAAGGAGGTGGAGGAGGAAGAAGAACAAGTCGACGACGTGAACGAGAAGAAGAAATTCAAACCTTCACTTCTTGTCATTATCGAAGATCCAGAGGGAGAAGACTTGAGTATTATTGACGAGTCGCCTTTGGATGCTGGATTGATTAATGACGACTTCGATTCTTTGGAGCAGGATGGTAGCGATGGCGAGATTTTTGCAGCACCAACCGAGCAATCTGACAACGCACCTACCAATGACATTCCTTCTGATGGAATGGGATCTGGATGGACCGAATCTGGAAAGCGCTACAGTCGAGGGCTACAGCTCAAGCTTTTGCCAGATAAGGAGGATCCTTCTACTGAAGCTTTGGGATCTGGCATGACGGAAAAAGGACGACGATACAGTCGCCGAGTGGTAAATCGAGGAAAAGGTGCTAATTAAAGCACATTCTTGCTACGACTTTGAAAGAGATGAAGTATGATAATAGTGTGCGACAACATACGAACAACCCATCAAAGAGTTTTACCAGGAAATTCACCCCGTCAACTGCATTTACTTTCTTAACCATGATCTCACTTTTTTTTCTTTTCTCTTTTAGGACATTTTGGCGAGTCTACATTTTCGCATTTACTTTATTGTCACATTTCCGAGGGATCCTTCGGAAGGCTAGTGTTTGCCTTTGTGGTTTCTAGTGGATTGGTCACTCACTAGGTCGCATCGGCGACGCGAAACCAGAAGATTTCATGGCTTGCTGCGACTGGGTGCTTCCCTCCAGTCTTGTTTGGCCACCTAAAACGAATCAATCGTTTGGGTGGGGCGACGGGGGTGGGATGGGCAGGTCGAGGCTCGTAAGCGCGCTCTGATCAGCAAGATCCCAGATAAGTGGTCCCTTTAGGATTTGGGATTGGCGTACCTACTTCAAGAACAAGATCATCGATTGGAGATTACTATTTCCAAAGGATTGAAAGGCAACGTGGAAGCCTTGCTTGGAATATCAGTGTCATGTGATCCATCACCCTGCTCAAATATGGGGAGCAAGCGATATCCGTCAGACATGTGAACAGCCGTTGTTGCCAATAATAATAATTTTTATTGCAATACTCGGTGGTGCATGCAGTATCGCGATGGCACTGGACTGAACATCTCAACAAAGGGGAAGCGGCGTCTTAAACCATTTTTTTATTAAACAAATTACTACTATAATTGTAGTACAGCACCAGATTGGCATGTCTTTTTGTCATATATATATTCAAATTTGTGGTCTTTTGATTATCTTTTACAGCACTAGTACTTTCAAATGAACCAGTGGATGCTTCAGCTATAGTAGTTTTTGCCTCATGAAATGTTGCAGTACAATATTTTCGCCTTTTGGTAAATATGGCGTGAAACAGCATTCTCCACAAAACAAATCTTTGAAACTATAACGCGATAAATGGGTGGCCTCGTAAACGGTACTGCCTTCGTCCGTCAAAAAATAATTTGTCGTGATCGAACTTTTGCTGTGTGGTACTGTACGAACCAGATACATATACCTTTGTACGAATACTGACTCATATTCATGATTCACTTGTTCACTCACTCAGAATGATCGTCACCTAGTAGTGCTGCCTCTGCTTGCTCCCGTTCCTTTTTTCTTTTCCTTCGATCTTTTTCTTTTTGTGTCTTGAGCCGTTGTTTGTTCCGAGCTTTGGGCACCGTAACTCCTCCTGTGATGGAAAAATAGTCAGGATTGCAGTATTGGTGACAATCCAAAGTACCACTCAAAGAAATATTATTTCGTTCTTGCAAAGCGGCAGCAATAGCCTCTCCCAGGAAATGATCATGGCCTCTGCTATCCTTGTCATCATTGCCGGCAATGTGAAACAAGTAGTCCCCCATCCATGCATGCAAACACTTGACATCTGGTTTCCCGACGGTGGCTCCCGCAATACCCGAATCCAAAAAGGCGGCTGATCCTTTTTCTCCCAGTTTCTGTTGCAATATACTAATGTCGAACGACGACGACGACGACGGCGACGAATTGGAGTCGTTTGCCCTTGACAATAATATGGCCCTTCTTGCAACTGCATGAGTTTCGTGTCTCGCTTGACAAGATTCCTTCCATTCCTCATTCGCTTGCACTTGCGACGTAAAATTGGCAATGTATCCGTCGTCTTCTAGCTGATCAATCGCATTGACCAATAGGGGGCATGTCAATTTGAGCAAACCCGAATTCATTCTTCTTTGATCGGGAGACAGTGGATTCAACAAAAATACTTGCGGATATCCGTGCTGGCATTGACAGGCGGCCGGAACACCAATGGCAGCGACACTGGGGCCCACTTGGCCCGTCTGATGCTGTAGGACTCGTTTATCGTCATCTGATGCGGGAATAGTATTAGGAAAACAATAACTGGCTGCTTCGGCCGATTGGTCGGATGATGGTGACGTTTGCAATCGAAAAGGAGCATGATGTTGTTCATCGTCATAAGGACGATGATGAGGATGATGTCGTTTGCTGGGCGTGATGATCATTGAGGGTATCGATGATGCAAGAAATGCCACCGTCACCGGAAGGAAAACTGGAAAACTCCATAGTAGCGTGCCATGTAGCAAGAGAAGGACTATAGAAAAGGTCGTTGATATTTTATTCATTGACGACATTCTGGTCTTTCTTCCATTTGGAGGTTATTCTAAGGAATACCGATATGTCATACAAGTAATCATACTGATGTATGTTGCGCATTTCGTATACTGTTGGTTTTGATGGCCATCACGTCTGTGCCCCACCCGATGCAACGACGCGAGACTTCAAAACAAGAGTGTACCTATACCCTACACAGTACAATAAAATTCAGAAAATTATATTCGAATACCTCGGTATAGCGATATACCGTATACTATAGCTATATTGTGTTATTTTTTTCGCTATTATTGCAGAAGTACGGGGTGCTGCTGCTTGGCATCATTCATGCCAAGAAGAACGGAGACCCCGTTCAAGGCCAAGCCGCAATGTCATGGAAAAGCACAGTTTCGATCTCGATGTAACTCCCTTTCTCCACGCATGGATCTGAAAGTTGCAGCAGTCGGAAAGAGGGGTACCGGTACTGTACCACGTATTATGCGTACCGGTATGCATACGTATCCAGAATCTGGAATGTTATGAGACGAGACGCAGTTTTTTACCGGTAGCATCACGACTAAATGAGAATGAAAGAAATGGCTCGCGCAATATTTTGTGCAGAATGTTGCGTGCGACTGAGTATATACCAGGTACCGGTTTAGTGCAGTAGATATATGAACGCGTCTGAGATGATGGTTCTACGGACTTGCAATCTAATTGATGCAAGATGTACAATGCTCACAGTAATCTGATTAATACAAAGTTAGTTGGAAAGTACAGCATAGTTCAACTAGCAGTCAAGGAATCTTCCAGCGTTTGTTTCGGAACCATGGAGTTCGAAAAATCTGACCAGATTATCAATCGTGATGGCGGATCAAAGGAGACCCCCCCTGACCACCTTCGTCCCCGAGACAATGTTCTTGGTTGTGATCCAAATGGTGTTGTTGGTAGCAGCGGTACGTCTTCCTGCAACATGAAGGCTTCTAATCAAGATCTTGAACAACCAAGTGGTGGTGTTGCTCCCGAAAGCGAGCTGGAGATGCAGGATATCCCTCTTGGTGGTGTTGATGCTGAGAAAGTTGACGAGAAGAGAATGAAGAAACGCACGAAAACAGTTCCAAAGATGCTTTTTCTTGGTAAGTTCGTGTAGTCTCAGTGTCTTTATTCTTGTATGGTTGGTTCGGTTCTCATTTCGACTAACGGACCTTTTTCGCAACACACACAGCATTGGTCGTTGCTCTTGGTGCATTGGGCGTGTTCTTTCTTGGACAAGAAGGTGACCCTGTATCTTCGGGGCCGGTAGTGATCAATGCTGACGCTGGCTCGTCGGGTGCAGTAGTGATCACGAATTCCTCCATAACGGGACAGAATAAGGACCAAGGCCGTGATGCTGACAATTCACGTGGGAAGGAAAGCCGTATCATTGGTGGGTATGAATCCTCTCAAGGAGACTATCCGTACTATGTTAAAGTGCTCGGGTGTGGGGGCACTTTGATTGCTCCCAATGTCGTCTTGACCGCAGCACATTGTCCATCTAATATTGGTCGCAAGGTCAGAGTTGGAGCCTACAAACGGTTCCACCACCCAGATGAAAATCCAAATGCTATTGAAGCGTTGGTCATTGACGAAATCGACCATCCTACCTATGGTTACCCGGAGCGGTCTTCCCACGATCTCAAATTGCTTCTCCTTGCCGAGGATGTAGTAATTCAAGGTTCCGCTGTGACCCTTACCCTAGATGATTCTCGAAATGGTCCTTTCCCTGGCACACAGTTGACAGTGATGGGTCTGGGTAGAACCGAAAATACAGATTTCCCATTTACGTTGCGCGAAGTGGACCTTCCGGTTGTTGGACAGTTCAGATGTGATAACCTCTATAAGGGTTTTGATGATTCCAGCCATTTTTGCGCTGGTACAAAGACAGAGGCTGTATGTAACGGTGACTCTGGCGGCCCATTTGTGAGAAAGGATTCAGAAAATCGACACGTTCTCGTGGGCGCCGTATCAGGGGGAGGGGTGAGTTCGCTTCATCTTTAGGGCCCTGACTGATCATATCTATTATTGTCACTGTCATCATATCTCATTCGAACTTGCTTCTGCTCTGCTCTGATTGGTGCAGGAAAAGTGTAAACATTACTCTATATTTGCCTCTGTGACCCATGAGCTCTGGTGGATCAGGAGTGTTGTGTGTGACCAGTCATCATGGAATCCTAAGGCAAGCTTTTGTTCCACGACTGACGACGATGAAAAATTCCCAAGAGGAACTACCAAGTTAGTGATCGAGCCGTTGGCCGGTGCTGGTTGCAGAGGAAGGCTTGAGCTGAGATACGATTACAATAAAAGTGGCAAACATTTTGGGTGCGATGCCATCACTGCTTCGAATCATAGTGCATATGAAATGGTGGTCCGAACCGACGCAAAATATTTTGAGATGTTCTATAATGGACACAGCGATTCTTGTTGGAGGTCAAAGCGAGGCTTCTACATCGAAGGGAAACTTGACGATGACGTCCTCACTCCACCAGACAAGTGCATCCAGCTGCGTCGAAAGTCAAAAAGGTAAATATTTTGGAAGGCAGTAATTGGAAATTTGCACCGCAGTTTTGGACTTACCAAACTTTTTAGTTTCTGGAAATGTAAGAACAGGAATTCATATCACTTCAATGTCCGCGGCTACTACAAGGATACCTCGGGAAAAGTCTCCATTTTGGACATCAATATCAAAGACAACGGTGTGCGATCCTGCGACGGTCTCTAGTACCACTGTTTCTCTTTGCTGGTTCCAGCAGTTAGGTTTGTCATGGGGTATTCGATAATACTCTAATTTTTTCCCTATCTGATGCATTTGTAACTCCACCATGTAAACGTTTATATGCTATACCAGTCATGATCTTTGGCACGTAGAGCTCGGTCCATCACTTGATAGCGTGTAGCAATAGTGGTATATATTTTGAGGTGGCATGCACATATTTGAGTCCAGCATGAGAGTTGGTCGACAGAGGAGTCAACAGAAAACGACGAAATTCCGGTGGCGTGCGGCACAATGAGACACAAAATGTTAACTAAATAAATAGCTTTCATTTCTGGCACCGAACTCTAGCCATCGCGTCTACTTCAGTACTTAGACAGCGGAAAACAGTTGTAGACATTATTATATCATCACCACCTCTTGATTATCTCAATATACCTACCGTATACAATAATTCTTCCTACACCAATACACCAGTATAAAGAAGGGAAGGAAAGAAAAGACTACGTCAATAGCATAGTATGGACTGGTCTCCATTCTACGGTCTGTCGCTAGCGAAATTAACACCTTCCGGCCTGTTGCAATTGGACACCTTGGATCATGAAGTCGAGCTCCTGCGGCGGAACAATGTGGAACTACGAAGTGAAAGCCTCGAGCCAATATATCCATCTCCGTTTGAAAACGTGACTTGGAAACCAAGAACTGAAAATTTGACCATTGTCGTCACGACCCACCGTTTAGTCTTGTTTGACAATCATAATTCCAACAACAACAACAATAATCATCATCAAGCCAGATTCATTCATTTGTCCAATCTGCATCAATGCCAACGAGCTGGTGGTCCTAGCATGACCTCCTGGAATGCCTCCTACAAATTACGATTGTCTACCTTTCAATATGGAGATTTGATCTTGGCCTTTAAATCAGCTTCGACATCGGAAAAGGACCGAGAGAATACCAAGGATCGCATCGAAACCTCCTTGCAACGCCGGGCATGGGAAACTGCCACTCGATTGCAAGAGAAGCAAAAGACCAATGAACAACTTGCAAAGCGACGAGTTGGAGTGGATCATATATTAACAAAGGTATGATGAGTCTGGATGTGAATAAGTGTATTGGAATGATGTGTTTTGTTATACATGCTTAGATTGGTATTCTTACACTCTTATTTGTTTGGTTGGTTGGTTGTGTACATGTACCGGTAGAATAAAATGCGGCACCGGCAGGCTGCCAAATTGGCAGATGAAGCCCTCAGTGGAGACAGCGAACAGCTATTGCAAGAAGCTTCCGAATTGATTGGAGTCATTCAAAAGTATGTATCGACCCTCAAAAAGGGAGAAGGAAATAAGGAAGAACAGGATGACGAAGCCCAACAATTGGCGTCGCTCTTGCAGGATATGGGAATGGCATCGGCACTGACCAAGAAACAAGTCGGAGGCGGTAGTAACAAACGAGGTGGCAAAAAGAACAATGATGAATATTACGAACTTTTGGCAAGACAAGTGGCAGACTTTTTGTTGCCCAAGTTGCCCACCATGGGGGGAGTCATTACGCTGACGGATGTCTTTTGCTTGTTCAATCGAGCGCGGGGGACCAATCTCATTAGTCCTGACGATTTGAATCAAGCCTGTGAGTTGTTTTCCACATTAAATCTGGGAATCTCCAAACGAACCTTTCCATCGGGCATTATGATTATTCAATTGGATCAAATGCTGGCAAGTGCGGACAAAATTGCGAGTCTGTGTCCGACTACAGCTCTGGAGGCCAGCCATGAATTGAAGGTCAGCCCATTGCTGGCCGCAGAACAATTGGAAGAAGCGGAACGAAAGGGGATTCTTTGTAGGGATGTTACCTTGGAACGGACGTGTTTCTACGTGTCGGATCCCTTTTTTGCAGCCTACTAAATAATAATTTGGAATATATGGTCCACAGGGTAGTACTATACTACGAGTCAGTAGTTTTGGAATAGTCAATGCCTGCATTGTGTTTGCGCCATTATTGCTCCATTGCCTTATTGCGATTCTAGCCACTTACCTAAGCATCCAAACGGGTATAGTGCTGTCCTCAATACTGATGCACAGAAGCTTGATGATGAAGTGCTACATAATAGCTATTAGCATCAATCAATTGAAGGTAATCCAGATTTGACTCGTTGGATTAACGCATGTGCAAGAATTCATATCATCTCATCGCGTCATCGTCGTTCCATACATCATATTCTCCATAAATTGTTCTTATTCTCAGCATGCTGAAGTGTCGACATGGCAAAAGGCCATCCGTTTGTATTAGCTTGATGCTGAACCTCATGATATTCAGCCTCACGAGTGCCTTTTCAGCTACTGGTGCCATATCGAGGTCGGCTAATAGCAGAACGTGTCTGCATTCGAATACATCCAGTGAAGATTCCATCATTCAACTACCACAGTGGCAAGCCCAGCTAGCAGAAACCACGGATCCGGAGAAAAAGGCATCCTTGGAGTCCAAGATTGATCAGGCCAAAATGTCTGCCGAATTTGGAGTCCGCGCGGCCCAAAGTCAGTTTTACGAAGCCTTCTCCAATCAAGATTATGACTTGATGCAGGCAATCTGGTCAAATGGACAAGATATTCAATGCAACCATCCAGGAATGCCTAGGATTACTGGTCGGGAGGATATTTTGAAATCCTGGAAGGCTCTCTTTGAGGGACCGCAAATGGATATGGAACCCACGGACTCTGTGGTGGACATTTGTGGTGGGACCGCCATTTGCCGGTGCGTCGAGCAAATTGATACTTCCAGCAGACTAGAGGCCTTGAATATTTACAAAAGAGAAGAGGGAGAATGGAAGATGACCTTTCACATGGCATCTCCTGTCTTATTGGGGCAAGCTGACCTGGAATGAGGGAGTTATGTTATATGTATAGACTATATACTGCATGAACACAGAAAAATATGATTTTGGTTTATCAAGAAATTGTTACAACTTTAGGCCAGCATCTTGCTATCTTCTTGGTCTCCCATTTTCCACACTGTGATAATGTACATTCAGTGTCTTGCCGTGAAAGGGTAGCCCATCTTCTCTCCAGATATCATAAAGCATTCCAGTCTTTTGATATGACAGGTACATGTGCTTGCCATCCGGTGAGAATGCCAATCCCGTCGCTTCATCGTCAAGAGTAACATCTGACTCCAAAATGCTGAAGAACCACCCGTTCTCGTCACGGGCATGGACTCCATTTTCAGCACCAAGCTCTTCGGTAAAGTATAGCAGAGTATATTGGTCGTCACCGTCACCATGAACAACTCGTTTCAGTTGATCCGGCATCCCATCAAAGACTCCAGAAATCGTCGAGTGCACTTGGTATGTTTGGGCATCCAAGTCCAAAATGAACAATTGCTTTTGTAACTTGGAGACGACAAAGAGTTCACCATCGTAGACATCAATGCCCTCTGTGTACTGGTAATATTCGTCGGCATTCTTTTGGGCTTTGGACAATTTGCTGGTCCATGAAAAGGTACCGCCGGCATTGGGCGATAATGTGCTGTAGGGTTCCAACATGAGATAATCAAGAGTGCCCTCCGAGTGCAAAAGTTGCCACGGGTCTTCCCAGTTGGCATTCGTTGGGGTGAAGCGTCGCAAAGCTCCTTCGGGATGGTCTTCGGTGACAAAGAAGCGAGGCTGACTGGGGTTCCGAATGTCGTATGCAAAGGCTTCGAACCAGCCATCGTCGATGGCCGACACAATTTGAGGTGGACGAATTCCCATTGGATCTACTTGGTATACCCTACCGCCATCCCTCTCTTCACAAGAGACTATATTGCAATGTCGAGTCAACGTGAGGCCAAGCTGTTGGAAAACTTGTTCACATCTTGCACATTGTTGCACTTTGTCACTTACCCCAAGTTCCCCACGGCGTCTTGCCACCGCTGCAATTATCGGTCGTTCCATCCAAGAGCCGCCGATATTCTACCACTTCTCCTTCTGCGTTGAAATAAAGACCACCCACACCGCCTTCACCTCTATTCTCGTTTTCACTATTGGATATGTACACCCAACCCCCTTCCACCAAATGACGGTGAATGCCATCGTGATCGGCAATGATGACCTCAAAGACGCCTGCACCGTCTGGTTCAATGTGAAAGACATTGTTGGAGACTGGTACTGTTTCATTTGCTGACGCCAACCCTGTCAGAGCTACTGGTTGACCTGTTTTGGCCAAGATTCGACACGCCAGGCCTTCACTGAGCAATAATCCATTCGATCGAACCGTCAGTTTTCCAGGAACATAGGTTATGATCGTCTCGGAAGGTGCAGAAGAAGGACTCTTGGAAGGTATTTGGGTCGGAGTACTGGTGGTATTGCCAATCATATCGTCAATAGGTGTTGTGGGGGCCTTGGTGGGTGGGCTTGTGCGCTGAATTTCGGTCACGGATAGAATCTGAACCATGTCGACTGCTAGATCCAAATCCACAAGTCGTTTGTAGATTGCATTGCCGTCTAAGGTTTCATCTAGCGTTCGAATTAAAAGGTATTTGTTGACATTGATGTATGTGTCAAGTAAGAGTTCCACTGTAAAGTCAATCTTGTGACACGATTTGTCATCATGAAGTACACAAGCCCCAGTTTCGGAATGATTCGAAGGAATGACATTGATACTCCGAATGCCTTGGCTATCCCTGTTGCTATTTTTCGCTTGTGGGCCATAGCAACCATGTTCTGCGATATCTCTTGCAATCAAGTTCTCCATTTCTGAAGCCATGACTGTTGAGAGTAACGAGAGCGCTCCGATGACAGATGTAGATTTGGGCATAACCACATTCGTTTCAACAAAAAGCAGCTGAGGCTGTAGTGAGCTGAAGGGGACAGCGTTGGTAGAATTGGAATTTGCTGCATGACAGTCTGCGATATCTGGCGGTGCGAGTGTAGGATTATTCTGAACACCATTTTGGTCGGAAGCTGAGTCATCCTGATTTGATCTAACTCGCAGCTGAAGAATGGCGAATACAGCGGATATAACGAATATCACCATAAAGAGTGCTGCAATGAGATTTCGTTGTAGATGCCAATGCCGGCCAGTGCTGGTGCCAGACTCTTGTTTTGGAAGCTTCTTGTTACTCTTGCGTCGTTTGCTCTTTTTTGGTTTGAACTGAGAGTTTGTTCTGACATTGCTCCTACTAGAATCGATTTGTTCATTTTGAGGCAAGCCCTTTCTTGATAAGGAAGTGCTCGAAGAGGCAGAATCTCTTGTTGGTGAAGATGATGAAGATGACTTCATTTGCACTTGGATTACTGGTACCTACAGAGATGAGGAAGATCTCCGTCATCTCCACGCGAAAAAAATTGCCACCATAATATTGAATATTGGCACTCTCAGGATGCGAATATTCGCAATCACCCACGATTAGACTTCGCCATTTTTGTCTCACAAAATACGTTTTTCCTGCATAATTGTAGTTTTATATATTGAGAAAGAATAACTTTTTGATTGAATTGAATGAAATACAAAAAAAGAAATCGTATTCAAGATAGTACTAAGTTAGACATTGATCTGATATCATGGGACATCTCATCTGGCGGGTTCAAGAGAAATGAACAGAACGTTATTATAACATGAGCACCAAACTTCAAAGTCCGGACACATCAGCATGCTGTGGGTCCAACCTTCAAAAGTACTCTATCTCGCAGCATAGTTCAAATGAGAACGACGTTGAAGCAATTCTAATTAAGGGGATGAATGACTTATCATTCGATGAATTGCAACGTGAACAAGAAGAACTCCATGGAGTTGCAGCTAAGATTGACGCCACAACTGATGTGTTGCTCCAGTCTCTCGAGGAACATCTGAATCGGATAAAGAAAGGAACTGTTCTTGAATCAGCAGAAGCCAAAAATCCATCATCTGTCCACAGGCGTGACTTTAAGATGGCCTTTATCCGAGGCAACCGGAACGATCCAAAGTCAGCAGCAGAGCAAATGATCAGATACTACGACTTGAAGCAAAAGCTGTTTGGCCAAGAGAAACTGACTCGAGATATCACATTGCAGGATTTGAATGAAGAGGATATGGAATCATTGATGGCCGGCCATGTGCAACTTGGCAGTGCCCCTGACCGTTCCGGGCGTTCGATAGCCTGGGCGTTTCCAGGACTGAGAACAGATGCGAGTCCACTCCGGCCTAACTTCTACATTGGCATGGATATAATATCATTGATGGAGGATGTGAGCCGTGGTACTGTCATCGTGTCTTATCAGGTCGGCGATGAATTCAAAGAAAAAGGCAATCCCAATTTTGGTGAAGCCATGGAGGCGGCGTTAGCTATGCCATGCAACATTGCAGCTTATCATTTCTGCTTCTCAAGTCGTGTAGAGGCATGGATAGCTCAAACTGCGGTTGCGGTAAGACTCTTATTCATGATACATACCTTATTGTCACTTGACACGATTGCTCTAACAACCTAATTGATTGTTGTGCAGGTAATGCCGCCGCATCTCCGTGCCAAAACTAAAATCCATTATGGTAGCCACCAAGAGTGCCTGTACCATCTGTCAAGCTATGGAATACCGCGAGAAGCTTTTCCTTTAACGCCAAATTATGAAATGGACTTGACCTATCATAGGTTCTGGCTTCAACAGTGCATCGAGAAAGAGCAAATGAATCAGTCCCTCCATGCCAACGATTCATCCAGTGCAAAGCGCGAAGACAGAAATATTCATTTTCTGAAAAAGAATGTGAAAGGCGAAACGCCGACAGAAAATGATTTCTTATGCGTAGGTAGAAAGGTCAATGCAAAAGGGAACGAGCGGCTGATGTCTCTGGCGGTCATGAATGCTGATGCCTATGATACTGGAAGTCTCATGAAAAAAAGGATGATTATCAGCTCGATGATGGAAGAAATCTGGCGGAACGGTGGAAGGTTCTTGAAATTGGATACCACTCAAGATCAAGGTTGGATAAAAGTGGACGACGTTGAAATGCGCGAAAAGATCGGCCAGACTTTCCGCAATATGCGTTACCGTCGAGCAATGATGCAATCGAAAGCAGCATTGAATGGAGCAAACAGCGGCAGAAACGGCAAGCCAGTCACAATATCTCGAGCTCATGCAGGGCTGTCAGCATCGACAAAGGAGGAGTTGACAAGCGGAGCTTCGGCCGTTCACGAGGCTATCATTGTGAACGAATGCAAAGACGAAGATGTTCTATTCGGCAATTTTAGGGACCACGCAGGCAATCGAAGACTGCGAGACTTGGTGGAATCTATTGCGTCTCAGTATGATACCGCTAGTCGGGGAGACAAAAGGCGACTGGCAGATCAGATACTGGCTCAAGTGAAAGAGAGCAGAGGCCGGTTCTTGAAGCCATTGGACGACGGGCGGTGGGAGATTGTTTCCGACAGAGTTGCATCACAGAAGATTGGGTACCACTTTCGCAACCTTCGAAGAAAGCAGTGGAGATAGTAGATTGTACCGTCCCATCACAATGGAATTGGAAGCAGCATTTCGTCAGGGAAGTGCCCCCCTTACCTTTAACAGATATTGCACGGATTCGACCAGCCACAACCACTGTTTTCAAGAATGCATGCAAACGGGATAGCTGAATACAAGAGAAGGAAGGTCAACGCCCCAGAAATGGAATGCTACTGTTGTAATTTGACGGTGGTCTGTTGCCTTGAGAAATCCCTGCCTAGATTGAGAAGCAGTTACACTTCCACATCCTGAACCGGTTCCAATGCCAATACTCTATTCTTCCTGTATAGTACTCCCGCAGGGAAGGTGAGGTTAAAAGGCCCAGCTAAAAAGCACCGCTAGAATAATTATAAGGCCTGCAAATCATGAAAAATCACTGACGTCGCTGCGTGGAAGTGCTATCGAACGTCATTCTTCCGTTTATCTGGCTTTTAAAACCACATTGGCTGGCAGAATGGTCCGAACTATGTTTTCAGTTTGGATTATTTCTTCTAAATATAAAAATATACTGCGTAAGAAAGTTCGCGGACATTCATGGTGGCGGTGGTAATAACGCCCTAGCATGCGTGGCATCACAAAATTGTGATTTCACAAATTTGAGAAAAGTCACAAATCAACAACAACGATCATGGCCATCAAGAACTCTCTCACTAAGGCCGCTTTTGCCGAATTTATCGCCACTGCCCTCTTCGTCTGGATTGGCTGCGGATCAGCCTTAGGTAAGCTTAAAATTGGGTATGATACAACTCTTATTAGTGGGGTAAGGTCGCCACTCACAATCGGAATCCATCATTCATCACAACATTTTCTTCAGCCACAAACAAATGGGGCAGCGTCACATCTGGTGGTGACTTGTTGACTATTGCCGTTGCCTTTGGTTTTGCAATTTCTTTGCTGGCCTATTCGATTGGGCACATCTCAGGTGGTCACATTAACCCTGCCGTCTCCTTTGCTTTGTTAATCTTGGGCGAAATCGATGCCAAGACCATGGTGTGCTACATACTGGCACAATTTGGAGGTGCTGTATCTGGCGCTTTAATCTTGTGGGGCTGTGTCGCCAGTTTAACTCAAGCTTGTGACGATTATGACGATCCCAGCAGTGTTCCAGTCTGTGCTGCCAGTGCCTTCCCTGGTGGGCGAGATGGTTACGGTCCTCCCTTCAGACTAGGAGTCAATAGCTTGGCACCGCGTGTTGAACTAGGATCTGGATTTCTGATTGAGCTGATGGGAACTTACTTGCTCGTGTTTACCGTTTGCATGAGTGCAGTCCACAAGAAATCTTCAGCTGGCAATGCCGCACCAATTGCCATCGGTTGGGCTGTCATGACGGCGCACATTGTGATGGTGCCTTTCACTGGATGTGGGATCAATCCTGCAAGAAGTTTTGGTAAGTGACACTAGATTTGGCAGTGGTTCCGGTTTGGATAGGATGGATCGATTTGACTCACCGTTTCCGTCTTCGCTTTCCATAGGACCAATGGCCGCCAACTCCATTGGCGGAGTCAACACATGGAGCACTGGATGGTGGATCTTTTATGTGGCGCCCTTCGTTGGCGCTGGTCTCGCTGCCATGACCTACAGGCTTATATTTGCTGAAGATGGGAAAGAAGATGACGACGTGGAAAAGGAACTTAGCTCGCCCTTGACCGAAGACGAGGAAAGCCTTGCTGCTAGTATCTTCAATAGTGCTTTTGCTGAAGACGAGGAAGAGGACGACAAGACCAAGGAACGTAAAATCCCAGAATCTCACCGCGAAGTATAGAGAGAGAAGGGGTAGTAGAAGGAGGCATCAAAGCCCTACCAGAAAGAAAAGGAGTTGAGGTCTCTGATATGCCTACTGTACGGGGAAGAATGGACATTTTGGGGGTTCAAGAAGATTATGGGAAGATGATTAAAAAAATAGTCTGCAAAATATTTCGGAGCAAAAATCAAATCAGCATACTTGTAACACAAATATCATCACGTACAGTAGGCATGACTTGTGCAATTCACTGCCTTTAGTTGTCGTTGTTTTGATTCATGGCTTATTGGTATGCCTTCTTTTTTTATCATAAAAAAAGTTGGTACTGGTACGGGTAGTAATAGGTACAGATTCTCTATGTCGCCGCATAATAATAATGTTGCGAGAAGAGTTCAAGAGAGAATGTCGCATCAAAGTTGATCGGATACAGAATATATATGCCCTTGGAAAAAAATCAATTATTTGATGTTTCGGGACCCCTCAATATACCAAACTTCAATAGTCATTTCGATGAGCCCATGTACATATAGTATGTGCGGGAAGTATAGAGGTGACCCGAAAAAGACGACGACAAGCACATGCATACATATTCCATTTGCGCATGGCTGCCATAATATCGTCTCATCAGGAATAGGAGGCTCGTGTACTGAATGAAACAAAAAGTTCCTACGCTATGAGCACAGAACCAAGAATGACTTTCTGTGGGATGAATTGTCCAGGAGGAGTGGAACCCGCACCTTATGCCTCACAATTTGCCAAACACCTTCATTCTCACCAACATTCGGAAACGAACGAAGATCATCAGGGCAGGAGTGATGTGGAAGCGATTCTCGTACAGGGGATGCAGAATCTTACATTTGACGAGCTACAACGAGAGCAAGAAGATCTTCATGGCGTATCTGCTGAATCCCAGGAAGACACTAAGGTCATGGATAAGCTCCTCAAATCTCTAACAGAACACTTACATCGGCTGAAGAAGGGCACAGTTTACGAATCGGCCGAAGAAAGAAATCCTCCCTACGTCTGCCAACGGAAATTTCAGATACTATTCTTGCGTGGAAATCGATACGATCCAAAGGCAGCGGCTGAGAAAATCATCAGCTTTTATTCTCTGAAGAAAGATCTCTTTGGGACTGAGAGATTGGTTCGTGACATCACTCTTCAGGACATGGATGAAGACGACATGGAGACATTGATGTGTGGAAGCGCCCAAGTTGCAAGTTGTTTGGATCGATCTGGTAGGGTCATAGTTTTGGCCGTTCCTGGGCTAAGGAAGTACAAATCTATAAAGAACGAGCTCCGATACCTATACTATCTGAGCATGAAGGTTCTCGAGTCTCAGGAATCACAAAAAAAGGGAGTAGTCTTCGTTTCATACTTTGTGGACAAGTACAAAGATTCCAAAAATGGAGAAGGATTCAACCAAACAATGAAATTGATGCTGTCTATACCATTCAACATAGCAGGCTTCCATTGGTGTTTGGATGATCACACTCAGATGATCTTAGGTAAGGCTGCATTCTCGGTCATGCCTCCCCGTTTACAAGCCAAGACCAAGCTACATTTTGGGTCACACGTCGAATGCCAGTATTTGCTAGCAAGTTATGGTATACCACGAGAAGCGCTGGCTTTTTCTTCCTCGTACAATGATTTGGATCTGTCATATCATAGGTATTGGCTGAAACAATGTGCCCAACAGGAATCAAACGGAAACAATCCATCTCAACGCGAACCAGTCTCCAGTGTTCATTGTACTCCAAAAGAAAACGACGTTTTATGCATTGGACGAAGGGCGAGTGGAGCTGGTAACAAACGCCTAATGAAAATGGCCGTTTCCTTTTCGGATTCGTACGACCTTGGAACTGTCAAAAGTAAGTTCGATAGCGAAAGTGTGATGTGGTTTTGAATGAAGGTATAATACTCATCAATGTTTAGGTCGAAGGGCCATTCTCAATTGCATGATGGACGAGATTAGGAAACATGGCGGTCGTTTTCTGAAACCTGACATCTCAGCAGAAGGCGAAGGAAGTTGGATCGAAGTCGAGGAGAAAGAGATGCGATTGAAGATTGGACAAACGTTCCGTAACTTGCGTCGGCGTCGGGCCGGGGTACCAGCTGCCGGGAATGTCGTTGCAACACCAGCACCACCGTCGTCGGTTCTTTCTGCGGTGAAAGTAAAGCCCGATGATGTTTTGTTTGGAAAGAACAATCCTCAGAGGGGAAATCAACTTCTTCAAAGTCTTATAGAACAGATGGCTGCGGAATACGATTCATCAAATCGCGGTCAGAAGAAACAACTGGCGAGCCGATTGGTTTGTAAAATCAAGGAAAGCGGTGGCCGTTTCCTGAAGCCCATGAACGATGGTACCTTAGAAATTGTGTCTGACAAAGTTGCGGAACAAAAAGTGTCTGTTCATTTTCGAAATCTTCGAAGGAAAAAACGATAAAAAATGTGGGCATTTCGGACTTGATTTTGGTCACAATAATCAATCATCTACAATTTTGCTATTCAACGGTTGTCAATACTTTTCAATTCTACTTCTACCTGTTTTGTAACTGCCTATCAAGCTTACATCCATATTCACGGTCCCTGCGGGTCCAGCAAAGCAAAGTCACTACATTCTGCTTGTTTAGTCCCATTGACTCCATGATCACTGCCCATCACGTCTATCCAAACCATCATCCCATGGTCTTCATGGGACAACTTATGACAGTGAGCCACGATCCTTCCCGAAAAATCCCAAAATTGTAGTCTGACTAAACACGGTTCCTCCGAAGAGATTGTGTCGTAGTACTCTCCCTCCTCGTATCGATATCCACACCCTCCCTCCTGAACGATCTGCATTTTATTGACATGTATATGGAACGGGTGTGGACCAGTGTTCACTAACGTCCACTCTACTAGCTGCCCCAGTTGCAGCTCTCGTATAGCAATATCAGGGTCCCAACGCATCTGATTGATGGACCATTTCTTTACCGGTTTAGTATCATTTCCTTTGGTCACCATGACAGAGTCCATTGTGACATTCCACTTATTCACTTTCCAGAAATTGGTATTGACATTGACCAAATCTGGCATGTAGTATGGCCGCCGAGGGGTCCAGCTAGTCTCTTGTTCAGCATCCCAATATGGGGATGCCCGAACTTGTTTACTTTTGGTCTCCTTGCTGGCATCATTGTCGTCTCCAATAACTCGAATGTTCAATAGCCCGGCACCACTTGATAGTTCACCCTGATGAAAGACAACTTGAGCATCGTCTGTGCACTTCATGGCAAGATCCAGTCGGGACGACAAAGTTAACATGTGTTTGGCACTCGATTCCGGATGTGGCAAGGTACTTCGAAAGACTCCATCGTAGGCCATTGGTCGTGCTTCACAAGCACCCTCCGGCAAGATTTCAAAGTACGAAACGGGGTCAGATATGACGACGAAAGATACTCGAAAGTAGTAGTACTCGTTGCTGTTCATGGTAATGTTCATTGCTTCTTTGCGTCCATTCAAAAGATGTGTTCGATGAATCTTGTCTTTGTGACGTATGCCAGCATATTGTAGTAGCACTTCATTTCGGAAGAACCGTTGCAAATGCAGTGGAAAGGTATCCATGTGTGGTTCGTCAATGATGAGGAGCCCATAGGCGCCTCCTGCAACTTGCTTTGATGAAATAGGATGCCGATGGGAATGATACCAAAAGGTTCCGACATCTGCATTGTCTTTTATTCGATAGTGATATTCCAAGCAGAATCCAGGGTCCACTTTTCTTGTGATCTTACAAAGGGAGAAAAGAAGAAATATTTAATCATGTGAGATCGGTACGCAATTCTGAGGCAATTCGACTGAATGATAGTGATTCGGTTGAAAACCTTACATCGTCAGAGATCCCAACCCCGGAGACATGAAAACCGTGTGTATGTAAGTTGGTAGGCTGATTTGATCGATTGATTAGAATGAGTTTGTAATTCATTCTGGGACGTATCCGAATGACTGGTGATACTGTCGATTTCGAATTCTCGCATGGGATGGAAGATGAATTTGTAGGAGACACTGCGGTTCGATAAAAGAAAGTATCATTGCCAATATTGCAGAACTCCAAATAGCCAACGTAAAAGTTGCCATTCGAAACCCTCCGCCATTGAAAAGATTCCAAGGAAGTAGAATTTTCCGAAGCTAACAGCGCAGATGAAGAGGTGGTTGACGACAGGACGACGCTGTTTGATGTGTCCTGTATCAACGAGGATTCTTCATCTTGAAATGTATGAATGTTCTTGAATGGAATGTGTAGAGTCTCCGCGAGAACAAAAGCTACCACCAACATAAACAAGGCTGATACAATGAAGCGTAATCGGGTTGGTTGTAAGTATTGCTTTTCCGCCCCACCAGATGATAAATCTGTATTTTCAGGTCGAAGGTCATCACCATCTTCTATTGATCCATATTTGCAGTACTTCATCTTTTATCTCGTGAACAAGAGGTAATGGATACGATCAAGACCGTACTTCTTGAGTATAAGGTCAGCTCCTAGAACAAGGTGGCTGAAGATGATGTGGTTCGGTTGTGATGAAATGACGCATATATATTGCGATATATGTGATTTTGTATTTCGATCTTCAATCTTCGCCTTATTGTTAACCATATTGACGTACAGACGTTTTGATGAAAATTCCGATTCTGCGTGATGCGTGTGTCATAGTAACCATACCGTACCAGGTACCAGCATATACGGTACTGTCAAGAGTGTATGGTATGTTCTCTGTATGAAGACCGCGGGGATACTGTCATGTACTGTGCAGAGAGACCGGAGTAAATCATTTTTTCTTGTGCTTTAGTTAATACTATTCGATTGCCCTTCTTTATTGTGTCTACGATAGTTCCGAAAGTGTGACGACACTTTGGAGAAAATGACAGCATCATCTATCACCTCTTGCCATCTTCCTCCTTCCACCTGCCGTAGAAACCGACCATTCGATGACTTGATCTGCTCCATCAGTGAGTCCACCACCTCTTTCTTTCTACCTCGAGTCGCTGCATCATATTCGGCCGCCATATTTTCCACCATATCTCGTAGCCTCTTGTTTCCATCGTTACTCACTTTTCTTCCAAGCAAAACATCGTTGGGTGCAATGTCAGTCTCATCGAGAAGTGGTAGATGATTCGCTGTGGCAAAACATCCCTTTTGCTGTTGGGATACCCTGGGGCGTCGAAGATTTCGGAGCATCTGGGTAATTTTTTCACGTACTTCTGGCATTGATACTTCGACCCATGACGAGCCGTCACCATCCAACTTCAGGAAGCGTCCGCCCTTGCGACTGATATGTTCCACCATTGTGTCCACGATTGCCCTACGCTCTCTCGGATTTCCTCCATTATAATTTTGAATATACTGCATGGCCATTTTCCTCAGCTCCTCGTTACTTTCCCGCTAAACTTTCTACGGGCAAACAAGACATCACGTGGATTGGGTTCCAAGCGACCAACAAATGAGGTCTTCGCTGAGTCTGGGTTCTGTCCTTCCTTGAGGCATTGTTTGTACCAAGTCATGTGATCCTCCAAGATTGGATCATTAGTCATAGTGGTGAATGGTAGCGCAACACGTGGTATACCGAATGTATTCAATAGGTACTGACATTCCGTGTGGCTTCCATAGTGTATTCTTGTCTTCGCTTTCAATTCAGCGGATGTCAATGCCATGGCTGCTTTGCATATGACAGCCTCCGAAGGATCATCTGAAACAATTTCGAAAAAGGAAGTATAGGGTTAGACTCAATGCTTAATGGGCAGTGTATAAGTGCCACGCACTTGAGAAGAAAAAACCCAATCCACATACCTGTGCACAAATGAATCCCTGCACAGTGCATCGGTATTGACATAGCCATCCTCGTCATCTCCACGAACCCCTTGCCATTCATATTGTCGCGGTATTGTCCAGTAGCATAACTAATCCAGACTACGCCTCGCTTCAAATGGGAGCATAGATTCGCCAACATGTAAAACCTAGCTCTCAGCTCATTTCGAAGATTCTTGAAGCAACGAAGGCCTGGTAGTTCTAGAATGATTCTTCTCCCTGAGCGATCTGTACACGGCAATATTTGTAAACTTCCGCCTAACAGATTCTCCTTGTCATCCTCATCGAGATCGTTCAGAGTGAGATCTTTCACGACTTTGTCCATACCGAAAAGTTGTTTCTTCATCTCCAAAAAGCTCAAAAACTGATCAGCTGCAGTCTCGGGGTTCCAGCGATTGGCATGCAAAAACTGCAGCCTCAACTCAGAACTGGTGACATGGTCTCTGTTCATCATCACTTCAGCTGATTCATATACGGTATGTTTCTTCCGACGCTGAAGTTGGTCATCAAAACGCTGCAGCAAAGATATCGTTTCCTGATGGTTTTCTTTGTCGATCATTTCTCCAACTCCATGCAAGTCTTCTTGTTCCCTCTGAAGCTCATCAAAACTCAGATGCTGCATTCCCTGAGCAAGAATGACATCCACATCTTCTTGATTGATTTCAGAAGCAGACTCCTGCTTATAAATAAGTCCACAGCATGAAGCGTTGTCAATGAATTGAGCGTCAAAGGAACTCATCAGTTGACGGTGCGTGGTACATGTGCCCCTACTTCACCTACTACCGGTATTACGGTCCGATGCGGTTGCGAAAATTTTACTTTTGTCTATCATATTTGAGCGGTACGATGAGGTACCGCGGTACGGAAAATCACAAAAAGTGTCACTGCGCGTACCGCATGATTTTGGTGGTCAGATCTGCCCCCCCCCCCTTCATGACGTCATATACACCAGTGTAGAACTCTTCATCGAAACAATCATGTATTATGTATTTTATACCCCTAGCTAGTATGACGATGTTTTGGATAGTACCGGTAGCCAATACGCGTAGATAGCAATTCTTAGAAAAATGGGACGACTGACGCTCGATTTTGAAAGATCTCTAACTTTGTATATTTATGTCTATTATATGTCTCTGTTGCTTCTGCGATAGTTTCGAAAGTGTGAAGACACTTTAGAGACAATGACAGCATCATCTGACACCTCTTGCCATTTTCTTCCTTCCACCCGTCGTAAAAACCGACCATTCGATGACTTGATCTCCTCGATCAGCGAGTCCACCAGTTGCTTCTTTCTACCTCTAGTCGCTGCATCATATTCTGAAGCCATGCTTTCCACCATGTCTCTTAGCCGTTGGTTCCCATCATGGCCAACTCTTCGTCCAAACAAGATATCGGTTGAAGCTATTTCAGTCTCATCGAGAAGTGGTAGATGGCTCGATGTGGCAACTGGTGCCTTCTTTTGTTGGGGTGCTCGGGGACGTCGCAAGTTCCGGAACATCTGGGCAATCTTTTCACGCACTTCGGCCATTGGTACTTCCACCCAAGCCGAGCTGTGGTCGTCCAACTTCAGGAAGCGTCCGCCCTTGCGACTGACATGTTCCACCATGGTGTCCACAATGGTCCTACGTTCTTTCGGATTTCCTCCTACATATGATTGAACGTACTGCATGGCCATTACCCTCAGTTCCTCATTGCCATTCCCGCTAAACTTTCTCCCTGCAAACAGGACATCGCACGGCTCGGGTTCCAAGTCATTTACAACCGAATTCCTACCTCTCGCTGAAGTTTGTTCTTCGTTGAGGCATTGTTTGTACCAAGTCATGTGATCCTTCAAGATTGGCTCATTCTTCATAATGGTGAGTGGTAGCGAAACACGTTGTATTCCGAATGTATTCAATAGGTACTGGCATTCTGTGTGACTTCCGTAGTGTACTCTTGTTTTTGCTTTCCACTTAGCGGGGAACACCCCCAACGCTGCTTTGTTTATGAGTGCCTCTGTAGGGTCATCTGTGCACAAGTGAATTCCAGCAAGATGCATCGGCATACACTTCACCAATCCTGCCGTCTCCGCGAAGCCCTTTCCATTCATAGTGTCGTGGTATTGGCCTACAGCGTAACTGATCCAGACGACGCCTCGTTTCAGATGGGAGCATAGATTCGCCAACATGTAAAACCTAGCTCTCAGCTCATTTCGAAGATTCTTGAAGGAACGAAGCCCTGGTAATTCCAGTGCTAACGTTCTTCCTGAACGATCTGTGCAAGGCAATAGTTGTAGACTTCCTGCCAAAAGGTTCTCCTTGTCATCCTCGTCGAGATCGTTCAGAGTGAGATCTTTCACGACTTTGTCCATACCGAAAAGTTGTTTCTTCATCTCAAAAAAACTCAAAAACTGATCAGCTGCAGCCTCGGGGTTCCAGCGATTGGCATGCAAAAAAGGAAGTCTTAACTCCGAACTGGTGACATAGTCTCTGTTCATCACTTCAGCTGATTCATATACGGTATGTTTCTTCCGACGCTGAAGTTGGTCATCAAAACGCTGCAGCAAAGATATCGTTTCCTGATGGTTTTCTTTGTCGATCATTTCTCCAACTCCATGCAAGTCTTCTTGTTCCCTCTGAAGCTCATCAAAACTCAGATGCTGCATTCCCTGAGCAAGCATGGCATCGAACTCTTCTTGCTTGAATTCAGACACAGATGACTCTTGCCTAGAAAGTCCACAGCATGAAGCGTTGTCAATGAATTGAGCGTCAAAGGAACTCATCATTTGATATGGTTATCAGAATAGTCTTATTATTTTGGTATGGGCGAAGATGATGATGATATTTTGCGAAGACAAGATGATCGAAGGTGTCGCGCGCAGCTGCTCGATTCTGTTCTTCAATATATGCTTGATCAGGACCGCAATATCATTAAATAATCTTTTGGAGAATACTTTTTTTTCCGGGCACTTCTGTCCTCATGACGTCATGCAACAACTTTTAGTTCGGAAACAGCGGATCGCCAGCGACAGAAAGACTACAGTAGTCACGTGGAACATTTCGCACTTCCGACCATCGCAATGTTGGCCGTATGACCATTATTTTCATCATAAAAACCGATCAGACCTCTTAAGTACCGGTAGGATGACTTTGGACCCAAATAATTGCTTAATGTATCCCTACCGGTACCGGTACAGGTTCGGTCACTCACTGGAACCAGAATAGGCTGAGGGCACCGGTACCTGGTACCCGATAGCCAAAATACTGCAAGGTTATGACAAACTCGTTTGGCTTTCTTGGAAGACGACGCAGGTGATTGGTGAGATATGGACTTGCAGCTAGCTCTTTTATATGTGATCTTTAGACGACAGTGCTGGTCTATGGCGCCTGTCTCGCTTTGGCGTGGAAGGGGCGCAGTCAGCTCGAATAGATGCTACATACTGTATGTATTCTGAAGCAAACAAATGCGATTTCATGCCATTCTAGTTCGGCCTTCTTGAAGGACTAGCTCGTATGTGACCTACAGGTGACAGAGATGATGGACTACTGCGGTGACTGCGGTAATCAGCTCAAAACGATCTGATGTCTTTTCATCTTAGCTATAGTATCAGCTGTGACTGGCGGGTGTGCTGTTTAAAAAGCCCCTAGCAAACGTTTTATATCCTATCTCGAAGGTGTGGAGGGTGACGATGGTGATTCGGTTATCGAAAGGAATGATATTATTGATATCATCATAATTTGAATCTTCGCTTATTATTTTGAACTTCAATTGATGCGCCAACTTCATGAGTTCCTGTACAAATATATACTACATAGGTTCACTTCGTCGTGTTCAACAAAACATGTTTGACTACCACCACCAATTTCATTCTACTACACATCGACTGAAGCTCCATTCTGCTCTTACGCTTTGTATATTTACTTTTCTTGCAAGTCTCTATTGCTTCTTCGATAGTTTCGAAAGTGTGAGGACACTTTGGAGAGAATCATAGAATCATCGGAGACCTCTTGCCATTTTCCTCCTTTCACCTGTCGTAAAAATCGACCACTCGATGATTTGATCTCCTCGATCAGCGAGTCCACCAGTTGCTTCTTTCTACCTCTAGTCGCTGCATCATATTCTGAAGCCAAGCTTTCCACCATGTCTCTTAGCCGTTGGTTCCCATCATGAAAAAATCTTCGTCCAAACAAGATATCGGTTGAAGCTATTTCAGTCTCATCGAGAAGTGGAAGATGGCTCGATGTGGCAACTCGTGTCTTCTTTTGCTGGGGTGCCCGGGGACGTCGCAAGTTCCGGAACATCTGGACAATCTTTTCACGCACTTCGGCCATTGGTACTTCCACCCAAGCTGAGCTGGGATCGTCGTCCAGCTTCAGGAAGCGTCCGCCCTTGCGACTGATATGTCCCACCATTGTGTCCACGATCGCCCTACGCTCTCTGGGATTTCCTCCTACATATGATTGAAAGTACTGCATGGCCATCAACCTCAGTTCCTCGTTGCCATTCTCGCTAAACTTTCTCCCTGCAAATAGGACGTCGTTCTGATTAGGCGGATCCAATTGACTTCGAACTACGCTCGTACCTCCCGTTGAAGTGTGTTCTTCGTTGAGGCATTGTTTGTACCAAGCCATATGATCCTCCAAGATTGCCTCATTTCTCATAGTGAACGGAAGCGCAACACGTGGTATTCCGAATGTATTCAATAGGTACTGGCATTCTGTGTGACTTCCATAGTGTATTCTTGTTTTCGCTTTCCACTCAGCGGAGGTCAATGCCATGGCTGCTTTGCATATGACGGCCTCTGAAGGATCATCTGCGTTCGAAGCAGCAAGGAAGTAGAGTGTTAGCGTGTGCTAAGCAAAATCATTTTGCCCTGAAAACAACAGCGACACAGCCGACATACCTGTGCACAAATGAATACCGGCACAATGATCCGGCATGCACATCATCATTTTTGTCGTCTCCACGAAGCCCTTTCCATTCATGGTGTCACGGTATTGGCCTACAGCGTAACTAATCCAGACGACGCCTCGCTTCGTTTGCGACCAAAGATTCACGCACATGTAAAACCTAGCTCTCAGTTCATTTCGAAGATGTTTGAAGGAACGAAGCCCTGGTAATTCCAGTATGATGCTTCTCCCTGAGCGATCTGTACACGGCAATATTTGTAAACTTCCGCCTAACAGATTCTCCTTGTCATCCTTGTCGAGATCGTTCAGAGTGAGATCTTTCACGACTTTGTCCATACCGAAAAGTTGTTTCTTCATCTCCAAAAATCTCAGAAACTGATCTGCTGCAGCCTCCGGATCCCAACGATTGCCGTACAAAAAGTGCATTCGCAACTCCAAATTTGTGACATATGCTCTGTTCATCACTTCAGCTGATTCATACACGGTACATTTCTTCCGACGTTGGAGGCGATCATCGAAACGCTGTAGCAATGACAACCTCTCCTGATTCTTTTCTTCTCCTAGTACCAAATCCCCAACTCCGTGTAAGACCTCTTGTTCCCTTTGAAGCTCATCAAAATTTAGGTGCTGCATTCCCTGAGCAAGAATGGCATCAACATCTTCTTGCTTAAATTCAGACGTAAGGTTTTGCTGAAGTCCACAGCATGAGGCGTTCTCAATGAGTTGAGCGTTGAAGGAACTCATCATTCATAGGTGTAGTTATGATATTGTGCAACATGATGTCAAATCAAATTTTATAATGTATCCGCAACCGCCTGCCTGACCCGAATATCTTCATCGCGTTTCTGCGAAGACGCAATAAATATTTTTTAATATTTCTCCGCGAGAAAAAGACTCTTGTCCGATAAAAAACGCTACTGTACCAAAACCGAATGAATGAATGAATCAATCAATCGCGCATTTCTGTGCCGCGCCTTCACACAATTCGTTGCGCGGTGCATTACTAATCCTTAAAAAGTGATCCCATATAAATCAGGTCTAGCACATATATCCATTTGTTTTTGATTGACTGTGATGGCGGGGAAGCCCCGCCCGTGCATATAGAGATATCATTGCGACTGACTTGGTGGGTGCTTATCGGTAGTTTCAAGGACAGCTTCTGTTCCTTCCGTTCCCGATTAGCCTTTCGAATGTGACATTTCGATCTTATTCTCAAGTTTTAGCTGCCTCATTGAACACGACTTCATAATTTCCGTCATGCATTTGCTTCGACAGTCTACCTCCAGATTGTTGAATTTGCTGCCACTAGCTCTTCCACAATTCGCTTCTTCTTGCCAAAAGTTGCGGCATCATATTCTTCGGCCGAATTTTCGACAAATTGTTGTATGTTTTGGTTCCCTTGGAGCCATTGCTGTATACCAAACAAGACGTCGTTCTTATATAGAGTGTCTACAATCATTCATGGCGCTTGTGAAGCTGCCGGTTGTGCCCCCTTTCGCTGAGAGGCACGATGAGGGTGTCGGAGGTTTCGTAATATTTGGACGATCTTTTCTCTTGCTTCTGGCATGGGTACTTCAATCCAAGACGAAACACCTATATCCAGCTTCCGAAAGGGCCCATCATTGCGTTTGACACTCTCTACCATGGAGTCGAAATTGGCACGACCCTCCTTTGCTTGGGCTTCCGGCGTTGTAACCTTCTTCAATCTGTGTTTTACACTGCTGTACCTATACGGGAATTCTTCCAAATTCGCAACGTTCGGGAGAAGTCAAACTATAGTGATCGTTAACTTAACCGAATCCGAATGTTACAGTATCATTTGGCCAAGCCTTTCTCTTTCTGCCGCCTTCTGTAGTTCCGGAATTGAGATGACAATTTGTCTCCCAATGCTTGTCGAGAGAGTTCTACCCAGGATTCGCTCTTGACCTTTTCAAGAAATCTACCGCCATTCTGTTCTATTTCTTGGATCACCAACGTCGTCAATTGCTTCTTCCTTCCCCTTGAAGCAGCATCATATTCTGCAGCGAGACTTTCTATCAGTAGTCGTAGCCTTAAGTTACCTGGATGCTCTTTTCGCCTTCCAAACAAGACATCGTTCTCAGAAACGTCTTTCACAACTTGCAACGGTAATTCCGGTCTTTGCTGTTGAGCTGCACGCCGTCTCAGATTACGAAACATTTGGCAAACTATATATAATAGAGCCATACAAGTTTAGATGAAATATCCCACTTTGCACTCGCGAATCATAAATCTCAATGCTGCTGGTTCTTACCTTTTTCTCGGACTTCCAAATGCGGCACTTCCTTCCATTCTTCCGTGGTACTACTCCATTTCAAAAATCTTCCCCCGTTGCTCTGAATATTTCCCATCATGGTGCTTACAATTCTTCTCTTGTCCTCAACGTTCGACGAGTCGTATGATGGTGCATACTGAATGGTTAGGTTCCGGAGTCGTTCATTTCCGTTGCCATTGGTCGTTCTCCCATTGAAGACAACATCACAATTGGTGGGTTGCAACGTATTGAAAGTAGGGTTTGCCGAGATGTTTTCGGCAGACAATCGTTGATGGTACCAAGTCTTGTGGTCATTCAGACAGATATCATTCGTATCGTCGAAAAAAGGGAGTGCCTTTCGACTGATGCCAAAGGTGGACAGCATGTATTGGCATTCTTGATGGCTACCAAGATGCACTTTGGTTTTTGCTCTCAGACGAGCAGGCATTAATGTCATTGCGGCTTTTGCGATGATGGACTCTCTATTATTATTTCGTTTCAAGGCGTCAGAATCACGCACGATTGGTGAAAATAAATATCCAATATATATGGAAGAATTTCTCTTACCTTGGATCGCTGATGCACAGGTGCATCCCGCCAATGTTCGTGGGGATGGCTAGCGCTAGGCGCATATTCTCCACAAATCCAGCACCATTGTAGATGTCCTGGAACTCATCAACACAGTAGCTGATGAAGCAAACACCTCTACTCGGATCTTCAATTGACTGCATCATATCCATAAACAAGTAGAATCTAGCCCTCAGCTCATTTCGAAGATCTTTATAAAAGCGTAGTCCAGGGAGTTCCAAAACAATCGTGCGGTTCGAACGATCGTTTCTTTTTAAGAACTGCATGCTGCCAGATAAGAGACTGCTAATGTCGTCAGCATCTAAATCGGCCAAGGTAATATCTTTGGTAAGTTTGCTCTGTCCAAACAAATGAAATTTCAAGTCAAAGTGCCGTATCAGTTGTTCTGCCGCAGCTTTTGGATCATATCGGTTGCCACTAAGAAACATCACAAGAAATTCCCTTCTTGAAACGTAAGACGAGTTAATCAATTCAGCAGATTCGAACTTGGTTCCTGGCTTGAGAAGATTCAGGTGACCTTCCAAGGCCATCAGCATTCCTTCAATATCCCCATCCTCTTTAGTAGCGTTTACTACTGTTATCCCATGAAGCTCTTCTTGTTCGCGTTGTAACTCATCAAACGAAAGGTGCTTCATGGCCTGTGTGAGAATCTCATCGACTTGGTCGGTTTTCGTCTCTTTCGGAATCTCATGATGGTGATGCGCTCGTTCGTTTTCCATGCAGTTTATTCCACACCATGATGTCTGCCGATAAGCTACGCCAATGTTGCTCATCTTGTTGGGAGCAAAATAGCGCCTAAACTGTGTAAGTAACGATAGATTGCAAGGTACCGGTATATGTTATCTGTTATCCAAAAAGTCAGCAGTCGTATTTGCCACTCTGCTGCGTCAATGTCCTTATTCGATCTCTGTATGCAATAATACAGTACAAGCCCTTTTCTCAATGATGGGCGATTCAGGCACTTTTACTTAACAATAAAGCGCAATGGACAATATCAGGTTTGCAAATAGCCCGCACGGATCGATGATTCTTCATCCCGTCTGTGAGTCGGTCGGACACAAATACTGACAACGCAAATTGCGAAATAGCGTTCTTTTAAATACAGTTTACCTAAGCCCCCTTATTCGTGGTTTTTTAATATGACCCCGATCCACGAAATACCCCCCCAAAATTCGGGTGGAATTTGGAATTCTTGGGACAAAGCAAAAATTTCAAAAGACACCTACGCACCTAAAACCTTTTCAAAGCGCTAGAGAATACTTTGCCCATCCCTTGTGAAAAATCCCAAGTTCATAGGAGGTGTTATAGGGGCTCCAATGCAGAAAACAACTTTCTGGTAACGGCTAAAAAAACAGCCGTTAGTCAAATTGACTCAATTGACTTGATATTGACTCGTGTGATTGCCAAAAAAAACTCAAGAGGCCAGAGGCTGATCTCGTACCATACGACCTTGTTGCGATTACATTCTTAGATAAATTTCAATGCGATATTATAAGTATATATATTTGCTAGGATTGGGTCCACTCTGAATTAGAGATCTTTGTGTATATCGATCTTATTTCAGGCCATTCCACAAAGTCAATTGAAAAGTAGGAAAGAGAGAAAAAAATTATGCTATCCTAGATTCTTTTTTCCGCCATAGCCCTCCAAACCACCACCCAAATTCGATTACTATATATATTTTGACCAACTTTGAACTTGGTGCCATCGTGTCAGGGTATCGACTCGGCTACTGAGAAGGGTTCCAGCCACATTGTTTCATGAACCTGGATTGATCCCAAAAGCAGTGTGAATGCTATTCAATCACTTTTACCTAGAAAATGTCCACTCCAAAGCCACCAATCTTCTCATGCATACCCATGGACGACAAATATGTGTTAGAACAAGGCATTTTTAGGAAATCCGGCCCACACCACCACCAAGTGGCTTTTTGGACCAGATTTCCATGATTTCTAACCCCGTTTGGGCGGCATGATTCTTAATCTAGGCGGAACCATTGCCTGGGTCCCAGAAAATTTAAACAATAGGCATCCAAGGGAGGCTCTGGTGTATTGTTGAATGGTTGGCTGTCTCCAGGGCGGCCACGCCGACCTTCATGCTGAAAGGGGAACAGACAGCACCAAACACTGGAATTCCAATATCTCAACAAGTATTCATAACAAAACACAACCGAATGGATCCCCGAGTAGGTAGGATCACTGCCGAGCTTTCCAGCACATGTTGAATGGGAGGCACTGGCCCTCTTGACTTTCTGCCGACCAGTTTCGGTAGCCCAACAGAACCAGTCGAACGAAACAAGGTAGATTGTAGTGTAACTGAGGCAAATAGAAGTATGAATGGCCGCTCCAGCCATAGTCTATCTATCAAATACGCTTGCCACAACATGTGCTTCACTTTTTACTTCTCTGGGCGTCCACACTGGCCAGTCCAAACGAGGGGAACCATCGCACCATGGCACCTTGATGTGCTCCAAATCGTCAATTTTGGTAGTTCGACACTCCGAACGAGTCTCTGTGTAGATATTGTCTTGATGGTGACGGTAGATATGAGTCGCACTCGGCAAATACGTCTTCTTGACACCTATCCGTCCAGTCCAAGCAACCAACGGAACCAATCATGGTGGATTATTGTGTGATTGCGGCCCAGAAAAAGATGTTCAACATAATTACTGCCGCTCCCGACGTAACATATATATCAACTATGGTTGCCACAACCTCTGATTCCACTTTCTCTACTCATGGGGTCCAGGCCGTGCAATTTCATTGTGTCTGACGAATTTGCAACTCAATGGTCTGGGTTGAAAATTGTCCTGTAGGAACCCAGATAGAGAATATAGAATGGTATCATTGCCGTTAGTATAACAACATAAGCAACTTCCGCAGAACATTCTAGCTCTATGTTGCCTTGGGACTTCGTAGACGTCCCGAAACCTCTCGAAAAGTAGTTTTCGTACCTTGTTGAGGTTCTTTAGCAGTGATTTCAGAGGTGAGAATGGCAAATGCATCCATATCACTTCATACAAACAAGGTGGATTCGGGTACGATACAGAGAATGTCCGCGACCCACGAGTTTTCCTCCAGAGGGTGATGCTTTCCTCGGCCTCGAGGCTCACCATTGCCGACGGAAGGAAAATTTGATGTGGTTGAAGAATTCTCAACGGGCGAGCGCATAGAAGTGCGCAATGGGTTCTGAAACTGATGACGTACGGAAAAAACCGGGTTCGCGCGCAAATTCCACCAAGTGCCTCGTGGAAATTTTCCGTACCGATGGAACCAAAATGGCATCCAAGACATCACCTTTGTCAACATTACCACTACAGTACTGAGGGAATACGTAACAAAGCTAACATATTACCTACATCCAAGCCTATACTACATTACCTACGACTCTTCGTCTTCTTTAATTCATTCCATTCTCTCCACAGTGGCAGTCTTCGCCATTCTCATCAAGCAACATCTTCATCAATTGCCATCAGCA